AGAGCATCCAGAGCTTACTGGGAGACAAGTGGGAGACAAGTGGAGACAAGGGTGAAATCATGCGGCCAGGAACACAAGCCCGGAGACAAACTCAAAATCATCCGGCCCCCGTTTAAAAGGAGTAAGAACCCCTCACAGGTAAACCTGTTTGGGGAAAAACCATGAAATCAATGGTGGTTGGAAGCCTAGAGAGCAACCGATGGACCCGCACAGGGGGGGTGGTTAGAACAATCATGTCTGTGCTTGAGGGGAGAATAGAGGGGTCGGTGGGGACCATTTTGTATACCAATTGGTTGTACACTTGGCATTCGGTGTCTGGATGATCTTTCCTCCGAAAAGGTGGCAACACGCCAGAAGAAAGAAAGACTTGGGCGTGGAGGGTCTGGAGGTGATATGTTCAAAGACGGGTCATTTGTCCGCTGGTCACTCGAAACCAAAACCTCGGTCCACTCCGCTGGACCATGGGATCGAAGACACCACATCCACCGGCCCTGTGGTGAAGAGAAGGGGATGGCGCTCAGTGATCCATATGACGTCATCTCAGTCTGTCCCTTCAAGTCTGGATCATCGGAAGTTGGACTCCTGCCAGCTCCATCGTCAGTTTAATCGCTAAAGCTCTGGGTTGCCGCGCGTCAGGGATGTTTAGATGGTACGTTTGGGAACCCTTTCTTGAAGAACTTTTGTGCTACACCACAGAGCGAAGAAAGATTGATTCAGCTTGGACTCTGCCACGGACTTCGCACAATCAAGTCTAGCAGACGTAGTAGTAACCCCGAAGCGCACAAACAAATAAAATAGACACAGTCAGTATTACACATTGTAAAAAGTATGTACAAGATCCCCCTCCTGAAGCCTCTGTTGAGACAACCTGAGTGGGCTAACAACTCCAATAGGATCAGGGGCCCTGCATATAATATATATATATATATATCATTATATATCCTGTCCTTACTTCTCCCTTCTCCCGACACCCAGCCACCTGTGAATGATCAGTTTTTCTAATTGTTGTCCCCTACCTCCGCTGTCCGCCCCCGAATTGTGCTCCTTCCTCGGAAGAAAAACACCTGAGACCGCCGGCCTCGCGGAAGGCTCGAAGTCGGCAGAGGGACTCATAGTCCAACTCGTGTTCCACGATCTTCCACTCCAAGTCGATCCTCATCGAGATCGCCCAACTCGAGCCGATCGACCGACATTGATTCTGACACAGCTAACATCATGGTTTTCTTCTTTTCGCGAGAGAAAAACCACTTGTAGGAGAGTGGCATGCTATAGGCAAGCATGTAGGAGAGCAGCATGGAACGATCGAAATATGTGGTCTGCAATGAATATTCTACGATCATGAAGTCACTCATGAAGTCACTCATGTCTAAATGCATGCTGGAACTATGGCAGTCGCTGGCTTGCCAGTCATCACGTTGGGACCACAACCCCCGAAAGCTTTGGAGGAAGGGGAAAAATGAAAACAAATGAGAAAACTTAAACTGATAGAAACCCCTAAGTCTGGTGTATCAAACCAAAGTACAGTCGGTACAGATGTGAGTGTATATTGCGGTATATCCCATTCCCTGCAACAGTGGATAATGATGGGGCCTGGTTGCAGGCCGTTCCCTGCAACAGGTGGGACACACCGTGGGACACCCCCGGAGTATAGCATGAGGGACACCGACACCTCAGACAGCCTGAAAACACAACGAAGTAAACAGCATGCTTGCTTCAAAGGGAGAACCCTGACTCCAGCTTTGCTCTTCCTTTCTTGCCTGGTCATGGCAGGGCATGACCCATCGGTGTCTGATTGCATTGGACCCTGCGAACTGGTGGGTGAACCATTGAGGTGCCGTTGATGGAAGCGGACCGGCCCTCACCCCTCACTCCCTGCCCCTGCTCATGGCCCCCTGGCTCATTCTCGTCAGCTTGGGGTGCCCAAATCCAGGGCTCCTTCTGGGACCTGCGAAGTGAGATGAAGAGCCAAGTGATGGACATGAGTCCTGGTTGATTAATTGATTGATTGGGTAGTTGGTGATATGGTTGGTTGGTGGGTTGAGTTAGCTTAGCTTCGCTCGGCTCGGCTCGGGTGTGCTGTGCTGTGCTTGCTTCATTCATTGGTGCTATGATTGGTTGATTGATTGGTAATATGATTGGTTGAATGATTGAATGAGTGATTGGTGGATTGATTTATACATATATTTAACTAAGCATGTTTTAAAAAAAGGGATTGGTGGGCTGCATAGATCAATAGAATATATTTATATTTATACATATTTATGATATATGTAATGTGTCTTGCAAATGTCTCGGCCCAGGTGCGCTGCATGTGGATCTGTTTCTCTGGCTGGTGTTTTTTTTCATCCGTTGAAATATGTTGAAATGGATGGTCTATTTCCTGTTGAGTCACATCCATATGGTGGGATGAATAAATGCATCATTCAACCAAGGGTCTCAAGACTTGGGAGGTCATTTCAAGATTTGGGAGGTCAGGTTGCTCTTCCAGACACACGAAAAGGGTTCCTTAACGGGGTGTTTGCGAGAAAAGCGAACTGACCTTGTCTTGCTAAGATCGGGGTGCGTCAGCTGGAGGAATTAGGACCATTGGCCGTGTTTCCAACGATGCAGGTTAGCTTGCATGATCCAACTGGCATCCCAAAACTGATTGAATGTCACAAAAACGCATCAAACAACAGCCTCTTCCACATGCTCTGCTTCACACCTAGACCCGGGAAGGTCAACATGAAACCTGAAAACAGACCTTTGAACAAACAGACCTGACTAGCTTCCTCCACAAGCCTGTGCTTTCAGATTCCGGTCTCGCCAGAGCCTCACCCGATCGTAAAACCACCAGGCCTCAACCAACCCAGCTGCCGGAGCGCACCTGGGTTCCTCCAGCAGTGCTGCCCCACGTGCTTTGCGGCGGCAGCACAAGCCGGCATTCCAGGGCTTCGACTGGCGCAGACACGCCGGGTGGAGAGGAAACGGAGACCTGGAGAGAGTGAATCCCTCTGGAGCTCACTTGTGCAAGCTTGACGTGGGAAAGATTGCACTTGTTTTTCATTGTTTGTTTTTCCCATGTCCGGCATTCCAAAGCTGCGAGCAACCACTATCAAATGTTGATCAAGCTAGGCATGCTATGCATGTCTGCGACGTCCGCGAGCAAGTTTTACTGGGTTGATATCCTATGAGACCTGCTCAACAAAGTCACATGACCCACAGCTGCTAGCTTCCTCTGTCTACGGCAGGGGGGAGGGCGAAAGGTTCGCTTTGGGGGTATGGGAACATCATAGTCATACTGCTTCGCTATGCTTCGCTGCTCTTAAGGGCGCTCTCCAAGCTTCAAGGCCTGTGATTCAGGGCAGGCAAAAAGGAGAGGGGTAAAGGTAAAGAAAAGGAAAGGTGGGGCCTTTCCTTAGTCCAACGAAAGTTTCTGCGAGATCCCCCTGTCTTGACCCTGAGATTCCCTGAGATACTTGCTCGGTACACACTAAACAGCCTGGTCAAACCGATCAAGTGAAGGGCCTGTGCATCTGGGTGGCGGGGTCGATCTGTTCTCTGGCCACATCTAGGGATATGGTAACTGACGGAGCTTAGGAAGTGGATGGCATGGCCCCTTGGATAAAGAAAAGTCTTCTACAACCAGGTGGTGCCATCTACTTCGATGGTTACTTCAGACTGTTCATACTGAACTACGAGAGGGAATATACAAGTATCTACTCAACTGGTGGGGAACCGCTCAGGATGGCTCATCAGTGACACGAACCACCAAGAAAGGTGCAGCAAGGCGTGGCAAGGTGTGGCAACACCTGCGACTCATCCACTGATATGTAGGGGTCACCAGCCAGCTGTCGCTAGTCGATGACTTTTGGCCGGAGCGAAGCAAGCTCTCCCGTTGGGTCTTGCAGATTCCAGAAGCTGATCTTTACAAGGACCTAGTGATGTAGTGATACACAAAAATATGAATGACGCCCAAGCCAGGCTACATGCTAAGATCCTAAAATGGATGTTGCATGATGTGGTTGTTTCTTGCAATTGGATCTTAGACAAACACTAATGGACAAACTCACATGTACTCTGACACTTCCCCGCCCAGAAAAGGTAGGCGGATAGCTATCGGATAGCCCGCTTTGACCCAGTCAAAGTGGTGTTGAACATCCGTCATCCGAGACACAGGATGCTATTGTCTGTGAATTGGCAAGATGGTTCAGGAATGATGGCCGCACTAAGAGCCCAGTGTTTGCTCCGCAACTGGCCGGAAGCACCTCCTTGAATTCTCTTGGGCTTTCATTGGCCTGTGCGAGTGCACTTGCCAACGAGAAAAACACAAAACCATGTCTTTCAACCTGTTGTTTCCAAACTGGGATCAAAACAGCTGCTGGGCAGCCCATTGTCTTGTCTTTTTCATTGATTGTTTTTTCTTGGAGGACTTCAAGTTCTCAGAACTCCCCAGCGGATCTAGTGACCACAGACCGCTCGTAAGCAGTGATTCCAAAGACTAAAGCCATCTAAAGCAGACCGACCGAAAGCCTGGTTCCATACGTATATATATATATACCTAGAACCCATTTGACCTCTGTTTTGATAGGAAAAGACCATATTTTAGGTGGTTGGTGGTCCAAAATAGAGGTCACTCAGGTTCTAGGTATATATATATATATAGTTGGAACTGGGATCCACTGGGATCCACCGGTGTCCCTCTGTCCTTTGTCGGACCTCCCCACCTGTCGGCCACGCTGGTCGCCACGCTGGTCACGCTGGCTCTGAAGGCCAGTCTCATGAGAGGCGCTGTCCCCGAGTCTGTCGACAAGGTCTATCAAAGTCTTTTTGACAAAAGGATGTCTTTGATCTCGATCTTGAAAACTAACCACTGCGACTTGTCTCTAACTGTGCACCTGACAAGTGAGCCAAGTGTACAGGAACAGCACCGCCATAGTATTCATACGTAGTAGCTTGCTGGCCACCCAACAATTGAAACCTCCGAAAGCCAGAGACATCAAAAACCCACTTGAAGCTTCTTGGGTGATTTGGTGTTTTTTTGCAATTTGAAGCTTCTTGAGAAGGTCGACCCACTCCCGCTTGGCCAAGCTCTGTGCTTGGAAAACCTGGAAGGAAGTACCCATTTTGACACAAACCTTCCAAAATCTTCCAAATCTTCAAACCTCTATAGGCAAATCACCCGAATTTTCTATCATCTTTCGCCACCCACCCATCCCTCACCAAAAACAAAGCCCTCCTTCGTTCGTTCGTTCGCTCACTCCGCGCCTCGTAAAACTGCTCCGCGTTGAGAGACTGCGGGTCCGGCCCGGTTGGAACCGGTTGCGCGAGACTGGTCAAACGAGCGGGGGGGATGGAGGTTCCAACTGGGGAGGTTCCGACTGGGTGGAGGTTCCGACTGGTTGGGTGAGGGTGTTTCATGGGAGTTCGAAGCGAACCGTTCAGATGCTTAGGGTGGTCGCTGATGCTGAGGTTTGGTGGTCGCCCTTCGGGCGGGGTCTGCGACGGTCGAATCGGATTCATTGGTCGACCGAGCGCTTCGGGCGATGGATTCGGGCGATGGAATGAGTTCTGACAGAGAAGCCATGCAAAGCAGAGCTTTGGGTTGCAGCTTGCAGCATCGCAAAGACTGTTAATCATTGCCCTAGCTCTGTACAGCATCTTGAGTCTATCGGAAGTAGAACAAAACCATCCTGAATGTTGCACCGCCCAGAAACCTGAAAGAACCAAGATTGGATGGCCGAAGATTGCAGTGCGCCAAAGACAAAAAGTGCCGAGATCAAGTGTGAAACATGCCAAGATCAAATGCCCCAGTTGGAGGCTTTTTGCAACCTGGCCCGTGACCCCCTTAAAAGTGCGGATGAACATCTGCAATGGGCAAGTCGTCTCCTTTCCCTGCATTCGATCTGAGATCCCAAGTGAACCAAAACATTTTAAGTGGGCAAAACCAGAATAAAACCAGGTCAAACATGGTAGAACTACGGTAGAACTTTAAAACGTCTGCAAAACCATCGTCCTCTTGAACGAGAGAACCTCTCTCAGCATCTTCCGACCTGCAAACCCCGCCACGGGGGAAGCATGTCCCTCCTCCTGGCAATTCTCAACCTGAGATCAGATTCACCCCGCAGAGTTCAGTCGAACAACCACGATTTGGTGACCGACTTGGCCACTCACTGCTCTGGAAGAGCACTGAGTGCATGGGGTTAAGATAGTTACAGCAGCTACATGTTGATTCTTATTTCTCCCATTGAAGGAAAGCCAACAGCTGCGAGTCGAGAAGCTGCTTGAGCTTCTCATCTTCGCAGCCGAACAGGCTCCAAAAGTTGTAGCAGCTGGGGCTTTCATGATCTGCGGCACTGTAATCCACAGAAGTCGCCATCAAAAGCTCCCACCGTCACCCGCCACGCGGCAGCTGGCTGCTCCGCTGGCTGCTTCGCTCAAACAAGACTTGCTCCCCACCGGTGGTCCACTACAGTGCTCTTGCGATGACTCGGCGGTGCTGGAGGGCATTTCATTTCATGAGCGTTTCGGGATAGTCAAAGTCTGTGGCTGAACTAGGATGAGATGATGAGATATGATATGCTTGAGATCAAGTAAATACAGCATACTTATTGCGTAGCGTATTGAAAAACATCACGTGTCAAACGTATTGATTTCCGTAAACCTTTGAGTTCGCCGGCGAGAGAGGGCGAGTCGGGAGTGCTTCAGGGATTCTACTGGGATCTATTGGGATCCTTTTATCAATAAAACAGCATAAACCCCTGCAGATAGAACACTGTTTGCCCATCCTGGTAGGTGGCGATACTAAATCAACAGTCAACATTTTACTGATGCAAGAGATCTGGAAAAAAAAAAGAAACTCATGCAGTTCCTGTACGGTGTTGGACTGGGATCTTCTCAGTTCCTGAACCCACCCGAAGTACCACCAAAGAAGTGGCCGTCGGCATCGGCATCCGACGATGAAATCGGTTGGAGCAAAAAAAATGGATCCCCGTTGGTTTGTCTGTGTTTCTTTTCTCTCTCTCTCTCTCTCTCTCTCTCTCTTTTTGCTTTTGGGTGTCTATGTTCTTCCATTTGTGTGCAGTCAGCGTAAAGTTTCTGGGGATGTTGGGACGTGGACCAACATGTTTTGGTCAGGTTCTTCCACCAAAAAGTAGACACAGGCTGAGGTGGGCAGTGACATCGGGGCTTCAGGGGGCGGTGACAACAGTGCTTACATTGACTGATACTGGCGAACGATGGCACAGCTCTAGCCCGGCTCAAAACTTCTTTGTCGTTTAAGGAGTTGCAGTCTCCGAAACCAGTGAACTTTGCTCTCCCTTCTGGTCACGAGTCGTGCCTGCATAGCTATGTTGCCCCTCTTCGCACAGTGAACTGGGACCACCAAGTGAGTGCTATCAGTCGCTGTCAAGTGCGGGAACCTTCGGGATCTCCTAAATCTTCAGTGTGGGCAAACATCAGCGAACTATCACTTTTTCCCATATCTTTTCTCACCGATTCTCATCCACCATCAGACAGCCCCTGGTCTCAGCCCCTCCCCATCCGATCACTCTCTCCCCATCGTCTAACCGCTCTTTTTGCTTTCCGGTCTCGACTCCTGGGACCCGCCCGAACACGAGGTCGATTTTAGCGGTATTTCCCTTTTTGCGGGGAGGTTCCCCCCAAACTGCAGATATAGTCTTATAAGTTATATGGTAATGATAAGATTATATCATAATGAATCAATCTTATCATCTTAATCATCTTAATCATATGTCATATATATTATATAGTTATATAATCAATATAATCCATGTATGAATTCCCCTCTCCCGCTACACCGGTCGCAAAGTCTCTTACCCCAAAAATGGGTCCTCCCATATCCTCCCATCCTTCCAAAATCTTCCCTGCTGTTCCGTCCGAGGACGGCTCGAAAAACGCTGCGGAGAGTTCGATCGAATCGATCCCTGGGAAAGAGTTCGGTTCACGACATGTAACTCCACCTTGTTCTTGGTTTGCGTGGGCAAAGGAATCCCAACAAACTAAAGGTGACCTGCTGCACGGGTCCGAAAAGAACCACCATAAAGTCATCCTTTCTCTTCCACTCCTAACTGCGTCATACCGGGAACAATCTGAATCCAAAGTGACCGACTCCTTGCCCCTCTCCGGCCATTTGTGCCAGTGGTCGGCAAAAGACAAACCTCTTGTCGACATCACCCCTCCTTTTTCGGCCTTCAAATGGAGAGTGTAAAAGGTGTAGCTGTGGACCCAAAAAGAAAGTAAAGAGGGGGGAGCCGTTGGCTTCAGCATCTTGGATCACGTTCTTTTGAGGTGATGGATTTCAAGCCATAAAGTCAAACACCTTGAAGCAGCAGACCTTGAAGCCTCGAAGCATCTTTGAACCTTTTGGAATCCCTTCAGCATTCAAAACGTCGCTCAAACTCCGGCTCGTACCTTCTCCAAAAATGACACACTACTTAAGTGACTCCTACGGTCCTCCATTTCCTCCTCGAAGCTGCAAGGTGCCTGGAAAGCTGAAGTACGACCCGAGTTCCCCGCGGCGAGCGGTCCCTCGCTCGGCGAGAAGCGATTTCGCTTGCGCGAACGTGACGAAGGTCTCGGGGCACCGCTCTCTCATGGTGGAAAATGCTCGGGGAAGATGGTGAAGTCCGAATGAATTACCCTCCAACCACCATGGTGAAGTGGACGTTCGTCCCGAGTGCCGATGACCATGAAATCCTCTGACTCTACAAGGGGGGTGCCATCCACGAAACCATGTTTGTTGCAGGGAGGTTTTCCCTCCGACCACCGCTCTGGTGAAAAACGAGTCGCTCGGTTGGGTTCCAACTCCGACCGAAAGACGGTGGACATGAGACGTCATGCTGTCTCCGGGATCTATACCTGGACCCCTCGTGACAGGGGTGCTTCCTGGTGACGTTCGGCACCCAGAAACCACCAGAGTCCCAAGTCCCACCTGGAGGCTGCTGAGCTAGAGCTCCCCGAGCTCCGTCTTTGTTCGATTCGCGGACGAAGAACCCAACGGCGCCGGACCTACATCAACGTGTCGAACGCATCACCCGGATTGGATCGATCCAGGTGCCAACATCGATCCAGGTCGGGACCTGGACCCTCGAAGGCGTCGAAAGCCCGATGACACAGTGATAACCACCCAGGTGCGCTACCTGTTCGGGTTCCGAAAAGAAAAAAAGAAGGTACTGATTGGAAGCTCCTGGGAGTGGGAGATCCCGTAACCCAACGTACAATTCCGGAGGCTTCTTCTCCACAACCTCTGATCGACGATCGGATCACCTTGACCGAGATTGGAGACCTTCACTAGCAGGGGTTCAAAAAGAAGTTGTTTTGGGATACACATATCTGGATTGCAAAGACTTGCAGACTTCATATGATCCAAAAACCTACAAGCCACTGGTCCGAGACCGTTGGTAACTACGTAGATTGGGTGCTTCTCCAATTCTCAAAGATCTTGGGTTAGATCCTTCCTCCAGCTCGCCTGCCGGCGGGTTTGATCCCGGCTCGCCTCCAAGATGGTGTCCTCGAAAGACTCAAAGGGCAACACCTCGAAAAGTGCCAGTTGTGCCATGACCCGACCCAGGCACCTACATCACAGTGTCTCCAATCACCGTACCTCAGAGGATGGACCACGGCCAGCTGTTTTCTTCCCATCTGATCCCAGCCATGATTAGGTGGTATCGATCCATATCGCTTGTTGGATCCCAATACACCGGACCAGTTAGCTGGTGATAGATAAGCATCACTTCAGTTCCGACCGAAAACCCAGCGGCTTCTAGGAGCAATCCCCCCACAGCGACACTGGGGTTCTCGATTAGGGCACCTGGCCCTCGTCACGATCTGAACATCGCATGGGAAAGCGTAGGGTTCCGAAACACACAGAACTTGCTTCAGGATTGGAACTCTCCAGCGCTGAGCATCGAGTTAGTGACTCGTGCATCTCTTCTGCTTCAAGTATATATAGTACCCAGAACAAAATATGGGACCTCACAACTGCTCGTCTCACCTGAAACCAGGAACCGAGGAACTGAGGAACTCTTCGCCGCCGACCACGTGGCGCAACCGACCGGGAACCTCCGGCTGAACCAGAATGGGTGCCCCCTGAGAAGGTCCATTACGTCTACCGTGGACGCGTTTTTGTCACACCAAAAAGCGCACCCCCTTGGTATTGTACCGGCTTTTTGTGTATAGGGCCATGCTTCCCTGCCCCTTCGTGTTTAACCGAATAGAGGAAGCTTATAGTATCATGCAATATTGTATAATAATAAGATAGAAGAAACAAAACAATAATAATATTTGATAGTATTGAATTTGCATATATATATATATACATTGAGTTTAATATTCAGATCAATATATTAAGTACGTATATAGTGTGCATTTGTGCGCCGCACGAACGCAGGAGCACTGTGGAAGAGGAACGGACCGCAGGACAACGAAGGACCACGAAGGACCGGGCGGGGAACCTCTGACAGCTGTGGAGATGTAGAACCCGAAAGACCTGGTTTATTTAGTTAAAGACCAGGAGTCACATGTCGGGGGCGATGTTTTTTTAGTCCCTAGAAGTGGACCACGGGTCAGCGCCCCAGGGGTCAGGGACTGAGCTCATTTGACTGGAGATCATGCAAAGACCTCCGACCTCCATTGTCACTTTCACTGGGACCAGGTTTTACTGGGGCAGACTGGACCAGGTTTAGACCAGATAGTTCAAGCCTGAAGGAAGTGCCATAGAATCCAGGTCTTGGGGTTGTCATCACCCAGATGCTCCCTTCACAGTCCAGAACAGCCCGTTCCTGGTCCCTCAAAACCTATAGGGATTAGTGAGAAACCCCAGACCTTTTGAGAAGATTCAGGTCCGACCCCGACCCCTGATGAGGGTTCCGCGTCTGGACCAGAGTCTACGCACCAAAGTGTTTTCTTATGGTTTCTTGGTGGAAGAGATTCCTCTGCAAAGGACCACCCGGAACCACGGAACGGGCCGGGTATGAGGGCAATGGTCCGTCTGTTACGGATCGTTCGGGGTCCATTCGGGGGGGAGAGGAATCTCTGCCATCCACCTGTGTCTCTGCGGCATCGGCTTCATGTGTGGATGGAGAGTTGATGGCACACTCCCACAGTGGTGGTCGGAACATGCACCCCCATTTCAAAACAAGAACGGTGGATTGAGAGTACATGGCACAATCCCCAATGTCAGTTACAGAAAATATCCATGGGTGCCAGTGCCATCGAACCTCTGAAACCACTGCAACATGGCAAGGGGGTTATGCCATACAGTCGTCGGCTCCCAAGAGTCTTTCCCTCAAGAAGCCCAACACATTCCTTCGGCTGGGCTCGCGACCAGCTGATGCGAGTGGAGGAACATGCCTGGATCATCCACGAATGAAAGGTTTTCTTGTGTTTCTTCTGGTTCTTGTACTTCTTCTTGTTCTTGTTCTTGTTCTTGTTCTTGTTCTTGTTCTTCTTCTTCTTCTTCTTCTTCTTCTTCTTCTTCTTCTTCTTCTTCTACCACCAGAGTTCTTTTGTGAGATGCCCTTTATCAGGCATGAGGGCATTCACAGAAGCCTTCGTAGGAAAAAGGGTCGTACGAACTCTTGCACTGAAGGCTAGAACGTTTGTCAAAAGGCTTCGAAGACCTCGACCACTCAAATCAGGAAAGAACAAGGTGGGAAAACATGCCCGGTGGATTTCGGATCTACCGTCACATGCGCCGCATCCGTGGTGAAGTCAGGCGTCCTGGCCCCCCAACGAAGACGGAGTTTCCTTCGGCATCCCGCCCGGAGACGTGGATCGGCCGGAGACGTGGGCGCGAGGTCTAGGGTCAGGATGAGCTCTCCCCGGAACTCAGAGGGTTTCGTGGATGGCACCCCCTGTTTATTCGAAAGGGCTCTTCCTAAGGGGCCATGGTAATGGGGGGGGGTAGCATTTCAAGAACCGATTCGCTTCACACGAAGCGGACACATGCCCACGATCTGTTGGTTGAACAAAAGCAAGTATATCAATCCTGATGGTGGTCACCTCTTGAGGACCATTGTCCACCCCTTGAGGATCCAGGAACTGCCAGGAACAGCTTAGCCCTCGTGGGGATGGGTATCCATCTTTGTAGCTTGCAAAATGACCCATCAATGAACAAATGCAGTATGTCTTGGGTTCTCCACCTTCTTCAAGGTCGAACTTCTGTGGCACGATTGCTGATACATTCTAATACCTTCAGTCCGGCCTCCACTAGTATATAAACTGCTATACCAAGACTATACACAAGTATCTAAGGCCCCTTTGGTCCCAAACAAACCCTTGCCTTCCTTGTCCCGTCCTCCTGCCATCGTACTTCCAAGTCACGATAGCTCCCGGCTCGGTCGTTCCAAGGATTCCCTGGTTTCGGGCAGCGGAGCGGAGCGGAGACACGTGGGAGACCGGCTCGGGAGGACGTGGAGGTCGATTCGACGTGGCGGTCGATGAATCGGCAAAAGCACCGCTTTCACCAGCATGGACCACCATGTGTTGAAACGCCTCAAGAGTCTTTTTCACGAAGCCCAACAGGCCCATCAGTTTGGGGAAGAAAAAGATGGAAGACAATGGCCATCTTGATAGATCAAATGATGATTTAGGGCCTAATGGAGTGAACGACCATACGTCCGGCGCTTTCAAACCCTCCCATTTCTGCCAGCCGTGCGGTTCCATAGCCGCCCCGCCTCCATAGGTGTCATCTCCCAGGATCGGAAAGCCGGCAGCGCTGAGGTGAACACGAATTTGGTGACGCCTGGCTGGCGCAAAGTTCCTAAACAAATCTACAGGGGTATCTGGTTGTTGATGTGCATGTTGTTCTCGTTGATGGAAGTTGGAAGGGTATCTACTTCGTGTTGCTGGATGTGGATGTGTTGTTCTTGTGGGAGTTCGTTTGGTGGCGAAGAGTCCCTTTCTGCATGGTATCTGATATCCTCAAAATCTCTTTAGGTGCCAAAAAAGAATAAACAACTCAGTTACAGACCTCGGTCTGCCAAACCGGAAATTCTGCCAAACCGGCAATGAGACTGAGGGAAATCCTACGCCACCCTCCATGGACAAAATGATATAAAACGTCTGAAGTTGCGTGGCAGCGAACTTCAGCTGTTGCCTCCCAACTGCGATAACCGACTGTCTTTTGACCAAGGTGGGAAGAACTTTAAGGCGCATGGATCTTCTTGGAGTAGGCTCGCTTGGATCTTCTTGAGGAATGCCAGCCGCGATGACGATTCTGAATTGGGTGCTGTTGAACTGTGAATGCATGCTAAAGTTCCTGAAGCTGTTTTAGTCCCACCTAACCAACCTGTGGTTCCCACAGCCCTGTGAACCAGCTGTTTCATTCAAAAGAAGGTCAGCTTCCTTGGCATAGTGTGGGTTGCGGATGTTATTTTTCTCACGATAGGCAACCCGATCGAAACGATTGAGCTCGGGTAGACACGCCGCAAGTGTCCGCAGCGAAAGAATCTGCATGAAAAACTTGAAACTCATGTTACATGTTTTCATATGTCTTGATGTTGCAACAACACATAGTTTTGATGTTACATCTTAGTTTTGATGTTACAGTTTCCAACCACCCAAGGGTTTTCGTTCGTTCCACGGTCTCCGCCAAACAAAGCGGTAGGACCCGGGTACGACGCCGTGTCACATGACCAGCCTTCCGGTCAAGAGCCGCAGCCGCAGCAAGGCCACCGGCAGCGCTGGGCGCGAGCACGGGTGCGAACCGCTGCCTGGCGCTTAAAGTGTGGGGCGTGGGGCGGGTGAGATGGAGGATCTTATGTGTAAACCATCAAACTGTTTGAACTGGTTTGGCTTTTAACATCTTTTATCTGATCTGTTTGAACCTGTTAATTGTTTATTATTATCTGATCTGATGAATGGTCGCTTCTTCGTCTTGATGAAAATATCTTTCTTGGGGAGCAACACCCGTGAGGCGGGAAAGCCCTTCCACAAGAACAACTATCTATATTCGACAAGGGGTGGACAGGGAATGCTCCACACACTCACACACAAAAGAGTTTCCCGTAGCAACTCTCACACACGTGTTATCGTTATCCTTGTTTGAAAGGGATCAGCTGTTGAATGCATGCCCAAAAATAGTTTATGTTGGGATGTCAGCAGGAACAATTCAGCCCGGTGTAGTAGCACATCCACGGACATCCACGGATTAGTTTTGTGGTGACGTCATCTCCAGCCCTTCCAACTGCCGAAGCATCTGACAGAATCTCCAATCTTGTCCAATGCCCTGTTTTGCATGCAAAACATTTTTAAAAAAATGTGTTTGGGCACCAACTTGGTGGGATAGGAGACCAAAAAAATGCTTCCCCCATGCTTCACCCCATCCAAAGGCCACCCGGGCTCTTGGCCCCGGCAGACCCAGCTCCGAGCTCGGAGCTCCAAACAGGGCCGCCCGCCCCGGGAGCTTGGAGCTCGGGCCTCGTTTGGGCCAGTAGCCCAGCTTCAAGACCTCCGCCACGGTCTCCGCCTGAGCAAACCACCTTCCCACCTGGGTTGAACATTGGTGGAATGAGATCCTCCTCGCATCGTGTTTTTTTCCTGGAGCGAACTTGGGGAGGTTCATGTTAAGAGCTTCACTTTTCCGCGGGGTCCGCGCAAAACAGGATGGACAGACTCAATCCAAATGGATATGAAGAGAAAATCCAAAAGGGGGAGATTGTTCTTCATCAAGAGTCTACATGACATGCAACATGGACCACATGGACCTTTTTCCAACCCCGAGTCCCGTCCCCCCTTTAAACACCCGTCACCACGGGCTATGGCGTGGTGATGAGTCGACCAATGATCACCTTGTAGCTCCAAAGGCCCAAGCCATCGCCCAAAAGGCCCAAGCCATCGCCCTCAAAAAGAGATAAAGGGGTGCTGATTTGGTGGTATACTGCTTTGTTGTCCATAGGTTGTTTTTCCAGTTCGTTGGTCCGTCTGGGGTTAGAGGACAAAAAAAGAGTTCCAAAATAACGTTTTTGCAAAAGGTTCTTTTGGCACTTTAGACTTAAGAAACTTAAGCATCATGTTCAAAGGATTACAGTAGTAACAACCACAGTGTGGTTTCAGTTTCTGTTGGGGCGACCTACCTTAAATCTGATTGCTGAGATATCCCAATCTTTTGACACCACTTCCACTTCCACTTCCTGCCGCCATCTGCCATCATCCGCCTCCTCTCCTTGCTCGTCCTTGGAGGCCACTCTCCGGGCAAAGCCTGCGGACCCGGCCAAACGAGCTCACCGAGCGAGACGAGTTCCGCCCGAGGCGCCCAACGGGTCAAAACGGAATCCGTCGGTCGCGCGAAGGTCTCGCGCCCCCAAAAGAGTGAGAAGTGCATCGAAGTTCGGTTCATCAGTTCTTGGGTATGCTTGGGTGTCCCCACATTTGTCCCAAAAACAGGGGTGACCTGCAGGTCTGCTTTTAGATCTGGTAGATCTGCTATGAGGGTCATGTGACAACGCTCGTCGACGATAGAACTTCCTTCAGTGGATGTCGAACGAGATGTCGATCGCGCAAAGACGTGGGACTAGGCTGGACATGTCATGAACTGGAATGGAAGAGATGCCAATCCACCCCAGTCGGTCAAGGTGCCATGTAAGGAATTTGTTTGGGCAAGAATCGTGCTGCAAGTGGGGCTGTTTGGAACCGGCAGTCCAGACTGGATCAAAGCTGCACATCGAATCCGGAGCTCACGGCCTGGGTCTTCACTAGCTCTTTCAAACTGCGGAACATGAATTCAAACACGCACACCGCGGAGCTGGGTCTTCCAACTGCTTTTGCGTTCCAACCCGCGGTTTTCGCGCTGCGCATCCGATCATTCCCCAAAGACGGAACACGGCGGGCCGAATCTGGTCGGGCAAAGGCCGATATGGTGGCAGGATGTGGCAGGTTGGTACCAGTAATGTGGACTGTTCATGGACAATTCCCGCCCTACAAGCATCAGGGCCGAAGTCACATCAGTCGGCGAAAAGTCACATCATGGCATGGCACACTGCATTGGAAGCAAACCACATCAGGTGGAAAGAAATCACATCAAAACATGCAAACCCGCCAAAGCAAGTCTTTTAGAAAGAAGAAGGTTGCCCAAACTTTTGCCCATTGAGTGGAACTTGCAATTACTGAGTGTGCTTCATCAGGTTTTACATCGCTCCCCCAGGTTAAATCAACAGTTAGCAGTTAGCAGCCGTGCTTACACCAAAGTTCACTCACAAGGATCCTGCAAATAGATTACTTCCACTGCACAAAAAACGTTTTTGCATGGGTTCGTGCTTTTGCTTTGTCGCCCACACTCACCATCTTCACACACCAAAAATACGCCACATCAGAAGTACCCGTGAAAACCATTATATAAAGGATCTCACAAAAATAAAAGGAGAAACACCACACGCCACACGCCTTTATTTTAAAAAACCACCCACACAAACTTGCGGGCGGTCTGTCGCGCGCCTCACGGTCCTTCCCTATGGGGGTGCCGGAGGTCTGTAGATAAGAAACAAGGTAAGTAAACACTGTACAAAAGTGAAGTCACGTAGACCACAAATTTAGCTAGACAAAAGTTTGCACACGACTGGTGCGGAACATCACACAAATCAGTCATCCTGAATTGCGTCACCCAATTCGGGGCACTGAATTTAGGGGCATCAAGATCAAAATTACTCAAGGATTGTTTATTGCCAGCGAGTTTTTCACTGCCCTTTGGATTATCTGTTGGTGTTCGAAAATATGCTCAGCAACCTGATTTTCTGCTTCCACCAGACCTCGTGATATGGGAAAGGGCAAATGCACCTCTGCAGGTTGACGCTGTGCTTCCTGATGTGTGTATGTCTGTATCAAGTCAATAAGCTTCTGTTGACCAACATATTGTGGACGTGTTGCGATTCCCCCCACCAAGGTCTTATGATATCCCTGATGGATAAGGGACATAGCGCCCTTTTTTGTGTATCGATGGAAGATATGGCAAGACATGGTATTCTCTATGAAACGAACCACATTTCCAAGATTTGTGGCTTGGAGCTTCAAGCTTCGGCGCGCCGATGCGAAAGGAGTTGGATAAGATTTAATGCTTTGTGTGATCCACACCGGCAAAAATTCGACAAAGTTGATCACGTAGAGAATGACGAGTTCGTACCAAGTAATACCACATTCATGGGGACATTTTGGAGATGCTGGATCTGGCCACTGGAGCCCTCGGAAGAGATTCCACATGGCGGGTGACCTTACGCCCCAAGAAAGAGCCGTGTTCAACCACTGGATGAAATTCTCCTTGTAGTAAAAACTTGGGACCAGTGATCTGCCAATTCCGCAAGCGATCGCGAAAGGTCGCATAGAAGTCAACTGTCTCCATGATTTCGATTTGAAACGTGGTCTTTTTCAATTTTAAGTGGAGGCCGTGAAGATCAACCAAGTGTTGACAAATCGAGTGAATAGCTTCTAGCTGAAGCTTCGAATGCTCCGAAATGTTGTCCGTTACTTCTTTAAGCATGTGAAATTCTTGTATATTTATCAGCTTTGCAGTTTCATCTGCCACTTGGTTCCCAAGAATTTGGCACGAATCATCCGGAGAACGAGCCGAAGCAAAATCACGGTGAGATTTCACTTTGACAACGCTAAATAGAAAAGGGTTCCATGGTCTTTCAAGACGGAAATGAAGTCTGAACGTTCAAGCTTGTAATTCGTTGGTATCGATCTTGCCAGTTGACCTGAACGACAAACGCACTATCTGCAAAGATTGTCAATAATCTTTCTTTCTGGGAAGTGGAGAGCGGTGTGGCGCACACTACTGCTTCTAGTTCGGCGCGGTTGATGGTTTGAGAACCCTTGACATGTGAAGTCTGTAAGACCGCAAAATCATCAAACGAGTGGTCCTTAGGAGCATGTCTGCAGTGTTGAATTACGGCCCATGCGGCTCGACAATTATTTGGCTCCTTTGGTCGACCACAGGTTCCATATGTGTAGGCATTCACACGCGGATGGTAATACAACGCCTGCTGAGGATGGATAGTAGTCACGGGCAGCCATAACAAGGAGGAGTGTGTCTGCAAAATCGAAATGGCCTCAGGGTGTTGAGCACGGACATGCTCAAAATGCGGGCACGCCAAAAGTCGGTGTCCATGCGTGTCTGGTAGCCCGCAATGCTCACAGTGTGCTTCTGGCGCTGCATCCCACCTTGCTTTGTCCATGTTTGTCTGAAAACCTCCCGCGAGGTTCAAAGATATCAGGCGTCTTTCTGTATCGGACAAACGGTGCATAACTTTCATCTGGGTCAAGAAATCGAATGGTTGGGCGGTCACCCCTTTCCTATGACATATCTGAGATTGAACATAATAAGACCACGCTATGCGACACTGTTTGCTGTATTTTGGGGAGTCCATTCAAATTGAGATACGAGCTCCATTTGGAAACGGGACGGTTTTATCTTCGCGTGGAACACAACTGACTTTATTGAGATACGATTGAGGGGCACTGGAAGGACCGACGGGCTTCGAATCTTGAAGGATAACTTGCCACATACGCTCAGCTAGCTCTGGATGATAGTGGAACAGACGACGGAACGTACTGGCTGCGTAGTGATCACATATCGGAATGGGTCTGGTACCCGCGCAGAAATGAACTGTAGCGCTGGTTGGCTATCTAATCTCCACGACCGGCCCATGGAGCTACCGCATATAGTTCTCCTTGGGAGTTAGCGAAAAATCTTGGCGCATGTTTTGGCAGGGCTGGATAACATGTCCGACCAAAGACTTTCGAAAACTTCATTTTTCCATGCTGTAACAGATACTGAGACATTGTCAAAGACCTTGATTGCATCGCTGGTCGGTGTGCGCAGTCTAACCGGATATTTAGTATGTTGATGAAGACAAGCACTTAGCACAACCAAAGCCCCCTGAAGATAGGTCGCAGGTAAACGATGGCAATTGACATTGCGTGCCCAAAATCAGGACACCTAATGCTTTGAGGTTCGAAAGACATCCTTTCAAGAAGTCTTTGGCTTCATCTGCATCGACCAGCGTAATATCATCTGTCATGTCACTCACACTTGGTACGAATGGAGCTGGTGACCCGTCGACAAAATGGAGGGCTTTATCAGGTATATATCTGAAAGTCAATGGCTCTGACATTCGATTTGCGCGGAATAGGCTGCGGTTTCCATGGGTCATCAAATTGTGGTGGTGAAAGCTTCATCGAGTGGCTTGTACAAGGCGTTCTTCGGCGTCTCGCGTTGCATAGTGCGTTGGATTCGGGAAGCTCCCGCTCGTTCATAAAGCTCGTTGGTGAACCTTGTTCTATTTTAGCTTGATCGTGGCGTCTAACTGACTTCCACCACCTGATTGCTCGAGGACGAAGTGGATATGGATTTGTTTTTCGCGGGTCAACCGTGTCCTGTCTGTGATGTAAGTCCCAAAGGTGTGTTCCGGCATCATTTGGCGACCCCGATAGATGGCTCGGATGCACGATGGGTCACCTAGATGTTTGGTAGCCGTAGACCATGGTGCAATCAACTCTTGAACCGTATGAAACCGAGTCCACTTCTGGACTGGAAAGAAGGAGTCCCAAAATTTGATCTGGATTGGAATCACCTGGGAATTTTGATCTTCAATTGGCCAGCTCAGAATGGTGAACTGCTCGCCTGAAAGATGGTGGTGTCAGGGACTGATGGTCTCTGATTAGACGGAAAGAGGACCAGGTCCCCTGGTTGTTGCGGCGCCACTGAAAGGGACAGGAACTGAAATCAATTGGAGTCGGCCACCTGGACGCGGATGTTTGCAGAACAAAAGGCAAGTCTGGACAGATTTGTGATCCCTGGGCCTGATTGCCATAGGTATCTGAGTAGCGGTATTGCATCGAGGCAAATCTTGGGATATCTTGGACGGTATCTTGACATTTCGTGGTGTCTGTTTCCTTCCTGACGATAAGAGGTGTAAGTAAAATAACACATGGACGTCTGAACGTCCATCTACTCTGGTCGCAGCATCTTCGGTGGTAAGAGGACCAAAATTGCCATCGAAATGCAGTTGCCCCTGTCCAGCGACATCATCTATCCTTAACGGTATCTGAACGTCTGGGAATGATGGCGGACGCCATGCGACGTGCTGCCTGTGGGCTTGTCCAAACACCGCGTGAATCACGGTAGATCCTTTTCTACTTCATGGACAAGAAATTGGTTCCTTTCGGAATGAGCCATTGCCGTAATGGGACTTGGACTTCGTAAGGAGAACCGAATTGCAAATTGGCGTCTGACAATCTGTATATCGTATTTGCTTGCCGACAACCTGTGGATCAAGGCTGAATACACGAAATCGATGGGCGTCTCGTCCCATGTGGAAGGTTCAAATTGGCCTACTGCATGGGGAACTGCAATCGCGTTGCCCAATAGACGAAAGGTCGAATCTGCGGACAAGACGGACCTCTCAGCTGTGGCGCAGAATTGACGCCATAGCCTTCGGGTCGCCTCATGCAGCGGGATCTTCTGCGCCTTGCTGCCCTGGCTTCTGGGGCGCCGCTGGCATGATCTGCTCTCCTGTCAGCGCCTTCTTCCACACCAATGCCACCTTTGTTTTCCTTCGTTGAAAAAACAGTCTCCACTGTGACTGTGCGTTTGTCACGCACCCTCCTGTGCAGCATGTCGTTGAACTTAGGATTCTTTTGCTTGTAGCAAAGAATCTCTCTGCCATCATTGTCTTGCAAGGCTTTCACGAAGGTACTCTGGAGGCCGGCCTGGAGTGCTTGTGCTGCTCTGCTGGCGATGTTCGCCTGCTGGGTGAGATGTTGGCCCATTGTGGGTCGTCGGTCTTTTTTCTTTTCCACGCAGCGCCCAAGCTTGTGAAAGACGAAGACAAAGATCAGGATGAAGGCCACGGCGAAGGTCAAAAGAGGCCAAAGGGGTTCGTCTTCTTCCTCTCCTGGCAGGCATTGATCTGCCTGTTCTCCATTGAGGTTGATTCCTTCATTCTCTGCCCAGACCGCCTTGAGCTGGACAAAGTATACCAAGGCCACCAAAGAACTCGTCGGTGATATAGTATTTCCGCTTCTGGTAGCTGAGCTTGGATGTAGTTCGATGGCGAGGCACTCCATTTCCTCATTCTCGCCGGTTGCGGCGGCCCAAAGAAAATGCAAACAGATCTGTGTTTTTAACCAAGGAGCTGGACGCAACCAACGTCTTCATCCTGGCCGCCATCATCTTTTGCGCAGATTTCACATTGGGCTGGTAGATCACCTCAGACGAGGGCAACACTTCCTTTTCTCATGCCTTGGTTCTGCGGCGCATTTGCAGTAGTAATTCCATCAGCTTCAGGAAAAAACCGTCTCTCGCTACTCCCGCTCCGCCCGACCGCTCGGCTCCGCCCGACTGCTCGGCTCTCTCCTGCGCCATCGGTGAGGCGCTCGGCGAGGTGCACTTCGCCGGACCACCTGGGCGAGGACTCCAAGGAGGGACCGGTCCAACTGCGGTGGAGCAGTGGCTAGGGTTTTGTGGTTCGGTTTTGGGTGTAGTGGGTGAAGACCCGGGTCTTAGCCAGTGATGGACTGTATGGTGGAAAAGGAGCGAATTTGCTGCCGAGACATTTGAAATGTAAGTGACTTGGGGAGCCTCTACAGATACAAGATAGAGCTCGGAAGATTGGTTCTTTTGTAGAAGTCCTCTTCCGAGAATCTGGGAAGGTCCGGATTCCGGATGACACCCCCAGGTGTGAGAAATGCACATCCGTTCTTGTTAGGACCTCTATACTGTTCTTCGGCTTGGTCGTTGAGACTTCTTGACTGTTGGATTTCTCATGTCCAGAATGGCAATTTGTTCTGAACATCTCTACTATCGCAAGATTAATCTGTCTAAACAGGCGAGAGTAGCTCAGTAGCTCTGATCATTCCAGAAAGCGGTCAGAGTATACTCCAGAGTTGGTGAAAACTTAGATGCCTGAGGGACACCAGGGTCCCCTGACAATATTGACAATGAACAACAAAGACCTAGACCAAAGACGTCAAGGTTTTCAGGCGTTCCTGCCATGCTGCGTGGAGGAAATCTGTAAAGCCCTCACATACTCTGATGATAGGGGGCTTTTGAGAGACTCCGAGTCTAATCCGCCAAAGTTTCACTGGGAGGCCTTTGGTACCCTCACCAACATCGGCCCCTATTGGACATTTGTGGGATGGGGATGGGAAAATGAAGATGCACTCTACACCGCAGTTGAACCAGCTTCTATTCTATAGTTTACTGGCAGTTGAACCTGTTTCTATAGTTTTAGTGTTAGATACCTATAAAAAGATTCTTACTAGCTAAAATCTGTGTACTAACATATCAGTCTGGAAACTGTTTGTACAAGCGTTCATGGGGCTAACAGACTAGGGATCTCTTGCCAGCTGAATCTTTGGATCCACGCTGGGCCACCGGGTTCCCAGGCGGCGGGTGGTTCAGCACCAAGGCCAAGTAATGCCTCGAGATAGGGCAAAGAGCGATGTTTCACTCAGGCAGATCCGGGGCAAAACACCTTCATGTAGACTGTTGATTCCAACAAAACCTGGAGAAGGCGCAGGCGTACGGTGGAGCGGCCAAGCAGAAAGGGCAAACGGCTATCGTGGCCAGCCCTTTTCCTGAGAAAGAACCCTAACAATACACTGATTGGTTGCATTAGTAGAGTCAATCCATCGAATTCTCGGTCTACCCTCGACAATGTAGATCTTGGAAAGGGCCTGTATTTTTGAGCTGAGACGACTGATTGGGTTCTATCTTGCGGTTTCTATATTCCTCGGTTTTCTGGAATATTGAAAAGCTTCAGATGATTGAATAACTGCACGGCCAAAGGCATTTTCTCAACCTGAAAAGCCTGTTGCAAGTACTATCTGTTTGTTCACCTATGTCCTGCAAACAACGGAGAACAAAACACGACTCAATGAAAGACTCATGTTTGACACTTACGTACTTGAGTCCCTTTTGGTTGGTCCAGAGTTCCACAAAGGAAAGACGAATGTTTCAGCGTCAGTTGGTTAAGCACCGGCTTTGGTTATATAAATCCAAGTTGTGGATGTTTTCCCTTTGTGTAAAGCGCAGAGGGAAGCTTACTTTACGCACCCTTTCGACACGTGAACTTTGGGGTGATTTAAACAAGCAGAGTTCGCGGCAGGGCGCGAATTAAGAATACTATACAAGTGAGCGAACACCAGAAAACATGCAACAACTCATCGCCGAAACAAAAGCAGACTGCGTAGCAGCGAGAGGTTGGCCCAACTCTTAATGATGCTGTCATACTCCTATACTAGTCGCAGCCTGTCCAACACGTTCGCACATTCCAACGTCACCAGTCACAAATTGGCTGCACAGGTCCCCAGTCCGTCTACCAGGACCATGTGCACCGAACGAAGGCGTCGAACTCTCACGTTGGCCTCAAAGCTTCGGCGATCGCTTTCGCGGCTTTCATTGGCTTCGCTCCTGGAAGTCCACCGGAGGCTGCGCTCAACTTGACTGAAAGAGCTCCATTGGACCTGCGACTTTCCGAAGGGTCGGTGCTGCTGCTTGTTTGCTGGCCAGAAAAGCTTTGCTTTAATCAGCGACTGGGACATTTGTGTCATCTTGGCAGTCCCTCGGAAAAAGCGCGTCCGTTCCGTCGCTGGTCCTGCTCGAGGAGCTCTGCCTGAATGAAGGATGAGTTCCCTCTTGCTTTCACTTTTGGTAAGATTTTTTCAATCCCTTAGTTAGCGTTGCGCTTTTCTGGCTTGAAATGCTTTCCCTTCTCTTTTTCTGCTCCACTGGTGGCTGCGTTTTAGTTCACCTTGGCGACCATCGAAAAGAGACTAGTTGCCTGCGTACGCACTCGTCACTCTTCCGCCACCTCCGCACTCAAAACAACATACATTCTGCCGCGGGGCCCTGCTCAATGAGCAGGCTCCTCAAAAGGTCTCTATCCTGCGCGCAACATGGCTCCCCACGGCTCTGTATACACTTTAGCGTCGCCTTGCTTCGGTACGTCCGTCTCCGAGTGTTCTGGTCTGATTCTGATGGCGCTTGCTTGTGCGGCTTGACGTCGTCTTCTTCCGCCGGCGGCGCTTCGAGCGCGCGACACCTGGCCTGAGCGAGTTGATCGCGGCTCCTCTGAAATCGTTAGATTCATCGTTCGTGGCTTTGTGTTTCAACAAGGTCCCCGCTTCGTCGGCCCACTCTTGTTTTTGTTGCTTTCCGGATTTTGTGCGCCAATCCAGCCGCCCGGCTTCACCTGCAGCAACGCTTTCACAACACAAGTCTCCCTTGCTGTTTCTGGAGCGTTTTTGCGTTGAATCTTTTAGAGGTGTTCAGCTTTTTGCGCGCACAGCCTCGGACGCTTGATTCACTGGCGCGCCGCGCGCTGGCGACAGTTGTGGGCGACGTCCAGGTCCCGCTGTTTGCGGGCGGCAGCCGTGTTGGGTGGACCATGAAACACAATGCTCTATGCACGTGTTTGTGCATGACCTGAGGTTTAGAACAGAAGTCGGCCTGCCATGCGCAGGAAAACGGGACAGTCGTTCCCTCCAGCGCGTTCGGCCTTCTCAGGGCAAGACTGTCTCCAACATGGCGGGGCCCTCTTAAATCCGCCGCGGTTGTTGAGAAAGGCGCTGGCTGGTCTTGGAGGTGCTGGGTCTTTTCGCCGGGCCAGCGGGTGGGCAGCCTTAGGTGGCAGAGTGCCCCGGCTTTGCTCCACCCGCTGGACGTTCCGCGCGCGTACAAAAAGGCTTATGCTGCGGCTCGCCTCTTCCTCACGACAGGTTACGTGTCAAACACATGAACCAGCTGTTTCACGCACAAAGGATCAAAAGGCATGGTCTGGCGCCACACATGGCCGCCCTGTAGGCAAGTCGCCGTGCCACCTTCAAGGCTTCGGTAGCCTGGCAAAAGGCACTGAAAGCACGCCTCGGTTGTATGCGTTCTGTACGTGTGTGAGTGCGTCTCTGTGTCTGTGTTTCCCTCCCGCACCACAAGGTCTGCACGTAGACCAAATGTAAAAAGCAAAAGCCGTTACGATAGGGAATCAATATGCCACAAAAAGACGAGAAAAAGGAAAGCAGAGGAGAGAAAACCGAGAAATGAAAACTAACCGAGCGCAAAAGGAGCAAGAAAAAACGAAAAACATTCACAAAGAAGCAACACAAGCACAAAAAAAAAGCAAAAAAAATGCAAAAAAGAAAAGCGGGAGCAACCACAGAAAGACAATGAGAAGCAAGGAAAAGCAAAGAAAGGTAGCACCAACTTATATAGAAAGAAAGGCCATTACGATAGGGAATTAATACGCTACAAAAAG